GAGCGCCTGCCTTGCATGCATGAGGCCCTGGGTTCAATTCCTCAGCACCACATAAGCAAAACTAAAAAAGCTGGAAGTGGTGCTGTGGCTCAAGTTGTAGAGTGCTATCCTTGAGCTGAAGAGCTGAGGGACAGCGCCCAGGCCCAGAGTTCAGGCCCCACGACCCGAACCAAAAAAAAAAAAAAAGAATTTTATGGCACTCAATTGATATAGGAAGAAGCTTAATATTGAACAGCAATGTATGACAGCATAATATTAGCTTGTAAACACTTGTAACATCAATGGAAGAGTAGGTATATGAAGAGTAGCTTATTCATGAACATTTTTAAATTCATAAACATCTCTATTTTTCATGAGCATGCTTTCTTTACTTCTATATTTAAAATATGTACTTAAAATTAAAAGGTAAAAAACTAAGTTACATTAAAAAATATTTAAAAACTTGTATCTTATATATAAATGTTTTTAACAAACTAGAGGCAAAGTCTAATTCCTGATTTTTATTTTTTGTACCAGTCTTGGGGCTTAAAACAGAGTCTGGGCATTGTTACTCAACTATTTTGCTCAAGGCTGGTCTTCTACTGCTTGAGCTGCAGCTCTACTTCCAGTGTTTGTTCGTTTGTTTTAGAGGTAAATGAAGATACAAGCTCTAGACTTTCCTCCCTGGGCTGGCTTGGAACATCTCAAGCTCCTGAGTAGTTAGGATTATAGGCATGAACAACCAGTGCCCAACTAAATTCTTGATTTTATTGAAATATAATCTTACTGTTATAACTAAGATGTTGTACAGAGGGGTTACAATTTCACAAACCATGTAATGAGTACATTTCTTTCTTTCTTTTTTTGCCAGACCTGGGGCTTGAACTCAGGGCCTGAGCACTGTCTCTTGAGCATTTTGCTCAAAGGTAGTTGAGTACATTTCTTTTTGGACTATGTCACCCCTTCCTTCACTTCCTCCATTTTTGAGACAAGGTCTCATCACATAGCCCAGGTTGGTCTTGAATGCATATCTCTGCTTGCCTGGTCTTGGGATTACAAGCATTCACCACTATGCCAGCTCAAATTCTAACCATTTTTATTCATACCAAATATTCTTTGAAGCAAATTAGCTGAAAATAGGTACAAGTCTTCGTTTAAAAGATCCCTCTCAAAGGGCCTGACCTACTACCCCATTTAAATGTGCAACCACACAGGTACTTTGAACTCTCCTTTCCTTTGCTTCTACTGTTCTATTTACCTTCTCCCCATACCAATTACTATTAAATATTGCTTATTTCCAATTTGGGTGCTCTGGCCAGAATATGGGCTCCATGTAAGAACTTTTTTGTTGTTGTTCCGTTGTGGGGCATGAATCTGGGCCTGAGCGCTGTCCCTCAGTTCTTAAGTTCAAGGTGAACACTCTACCACTTGAGCCACACCACCACTTCCAGAACATTTTTTTGGTTGCTGATGGGCTGGAACTCAAGGTGCTGAGCTCCTTTGTTCCAGGCTAGTACTCTACCACTTTGAGCCTCCAATTTCCCAGTGGTTAATTGGAGATAAACAGTCTCACAGACTTTTCTGCTCAGGCAGGCTTCAACTGCAATCCACAGATCTCAGCCTCCTAAGTAGCTAGGATTACAGGCATGAGCCATCAGTGCCCGACCATGGAATATCTTGGTTGTTCAAAAATGATTCAATGGAGGCTGGGAAGGTAGTTCATTGGTAGAGTGCTTGCCTCACATGTATGAGGCCCTGGGTTCGATTCCTCAGCACCACATAAGCAAAAAGAAAAAAGCCGGAAGTGGCGCTGTGGCTGAAGTGGGAGCTGAGGGACAGCGCCCAGGCCCACAACCTGACCCCAAAAAATAAATAAATAAAAAAAGAACTTGAAAATCAAACCTTGGTAAACATGATCTTTGCACAACTAAAAAAGGTGTAGTTTAGTCTAATTCTCATGGTCAATAGGTCTTTATTTTTTGTGCTGGTACTAAACAATGATATTAAAATACACCATTAAAAGGAAATAATCACCACTATTCTACTTAATTTCATCTATAATCCATGCAAAACCAATTGAAAAATAGACAAATAGCAATTTTCAAAAAATTCTATACCGTGAGAAACAGAATTCTAGTTGTTTTCTCAGACATTCTTTTAGGTCTTCTGTAGAAATTGCTGAACTTTCTCCTGATAGCAGAAAAGAAGAGAAGAAAAGATTAATATCAAGTTATCATAGGATGAAACTACCATACTATACTCAAGCTAAAAAATGTATACAAATTAACATTTATATTAACGTATTTATTTTTGCAACTCAGTTCCAGGTTTAATTTGTTTCAACATAATTCTTTTTTCAGAAAATTTTTTCATTTTTTAAATTTATTTTTCAGTCTTGGGGCTTGAACTCAGGACCTAAGCACTGTCCCATAGCTCTTCAACTCAAGGCTAGTGCTCTACCACTTTGGTATTCTGGTGATTATTTGGAGATGGGTCTCACACTTTCCTGCCCAGGCTGGCTTTTACCATGATCCTCAGGTATTAGCCTCCTGAGTAGCTAGGATTATAGGCATCAGCCCACTGGTGTCCAGTTTTATATTAAGAATTATCTTTTTTTGGGTGGATCCATTACAACAATGAGATGTACAAGTTGTTATGTGGAAAAACGAACTTTACAACTTTGGTAGGGGGAGGAGGATTGGGTAGGGGTTGGGGGGAGGATGGGAAGGGATGGGAAGGGGAAACAAAGGAGGAGGCTACAATGCTTGATAAGAAATGCACTCATTATCTTGCCCATGTAATTGTAACCCCTCTGTACAGTATTTTCACAATAAAAAAAATAAAATAAAAAGAATTATCTATTTTTGATGTTGTTGGTCACAGGGCTTGAACTCTGGGCCTGGGTGCTACCCCTCAGCTCTTCAGCTCAAGACAAGCGCTTTACCACTTGAGCCACAGCACCACTTCCAGTTTTCTGGTGGTTTATTGCAGATATGAGTCTCACGGACTTTCTTGCCTGGGCTGGCTTTGAACCATGATCCTCAGATCTCAGCCTCCAGAGTAGCTAGGATTACAGGCGTGAGCCACCAGCGCTCGGCTATTAAGAATTATCGTCTAGGGGCTGGGAAGGTAGCTCAGTGGTAGAGCGCTTGCCTTGCATGCCTGAGGCCCTGGGTTCGATTCCTCAGCACCACATAAACAAAAAGAAAAAAGCCAGAAGTAGCACTGTGGCTCAAGTGGTAGAGCACTATCCTTGAGCTGAAGAGCTGAGGGACAGCGCCCAGGCCCAGAGTTCAGGCCCCACGACTGGACCCGCCCCCCCCAAAAAAAAAGAATTATCGCCTAGGAATATAGTTTAATTCCAAAGTGCTTAACTAGTGTGTGTGAGACAATGGATTCCATCTCTAGCACCACAAAAAACTTTTTCTTGCCGAGCGCTGGTGGCTAACACCTGTAATTGTAGCTACTCAAGAGGCTGAGGAAGAGGATGGGAAGGGGACACAAAGGAGGAGGCTGCAATGCTTGATAAGAAATGTACTCATTATCTTGCCCATGTAATTGTAACTCCTCTGCACAGTATTTTCACAATTAAAAAAAAAGGGGTGGGGGGGGGGCTGAGATCTGAGGATTGTGGTTCAAAGCCAGCCCGGGCAGGAGAGACAGTGAGACTCCTATCTCCAATAAACCACCAGAAAACTGGAAGTGGCACTGTAGCTCAAGTGGCAGAGCGCTCGTCTTGAGCTGAAGAGCTGAGGGACAGCGCTCAGGCCCAGATTTCAAGTCCCATGACCAAAAAAAAAAAAACTTTTAAAATTTTTTTATTGTGCCAGTACTATAACTTGATCTCAGGATCTCCTGTTCTTCCTTATTTGCTCAAGACAGCTAGCTGCTCAACCACTTGAGCCGCAGCTCTAAGTGCTAGTTAGCTGGTGATTAAGAGATAAAGTCTCTCAGATTTGTCTGCACTGGCTGGCTTTTAGCTAGGATGGCAGGCATGAGGCACAAGAACTCGGACAAATTGTTTAAACCAAGAAATTTATATAAGGTAGGGAAGGTGTCTCAGTGGTAGAGCGCTTGCCTTGCATGCCTAAGGCCCTGGGTTCAATTCCCCAGCACCACATAAGCAAAAAGAAAAAAGCCGGAAGTGGCGCTGTGGCTCAAGTGGTAGAGTGCTAGTCTTGAGCTGAAGAGCTGAGGGATAGCGCCCAGGGCCAGAGTTCAGGCCCCACCACTGGACCCAAAAAAAAAAATTTTCATGGACTTTCCTGCCCAGGCTGTCTTTGAACTGTGATCCTCAGATCTAAGCCTCTTGAGTAGCAAGGATTACAGGCATGACCCACTGGCACCTGGCTGAAGTATTGGTAAAAGTTTATTTTTTGTGCCAGTTCTGGGGTTTAGGTGTTATGCCAAAGCTTCATTTGCTTAAGGCTAAAGCTCAACCTCTTGAGTCACATGGCTCCACTTCTGGTTTTTTTGGTAGGTCAGTGGAGATAAAGAATCTCCACTAACCTGGCGCTGGTGACTTATACCTGTAATCCTCGCTACTCACGAGGCTGACATCTAAGAATAAAGGTTCAAAGCCAGACCAAGCAGAAAAGTCTGAATTTTTTTTTTTGCAAGTCCTGGGGCTTGAACTCAGGGTCTGGGCACTATCCTTGAGCCATGTGGGCTCAAGTGGTAGAGTACTAGCTTGAGCAAAGAAGCTCAAAGACTGTGCCCAAGCCCTGAGTTCAAGCCTCATTACCAAAAAAATAAAGTCTCCACTAGATATTCCTGCCACTGCTGGTTTTGAACTGTGATCTTCAGATCTCAGATTCCTGTGTAGCTAGAATTGCAGGTGTAAACCACAGATGCCTGGTTGACAAAAGTACTTTTAACCACCACCTAACATTCTATTAACATAAATCTCTGCACTGAAGAAAACAAACTGATCAAAGAAAACAATTTGATCAATGCCATATGTTTAACAATGATGGGAGGGTGATTAGGCTAGTGAATTCTCAGTTTATTAGTACAACTAGGAAGGTTACCAGAAACGTCATATATTTGGTAACTGAGATCTTCAGGTCCTAAAATCATTCCTTCAGTTGATTCTTCAATGCCTGTAGTATTTCTTGCAGTTTCACAAGATGGAGAATACATTACTTCATATTCCTTACACATATCCTCTGAAAGCTCTGTATTACCTGCATTAAACAAAAGACATGACAAGTGAGTAGGAGCTTTAAATCCTGTCTTAGGAACTCTGGGGAGTTTATCTTCAATAAAAAGATTTTAAAGTATTATACTAGTTGAGGTGTCCACATGGTTTTAGTAACACTTATTTTTTAACAAAAGATTGGTTTACCATTATGGGTAAGCTAAAATGATTAACAATCTGAAACTTACAGAGGCATTATATAAGTAACAGACTATTCCAATGAAGCAATGATCAGATGTAGGAAATAACTGAATCATGAGGGCTCTAACCTTACCAATGTATTAATCTGATGGGTTCATAATTTGATGAACTATTTGGAAGTGATGGAAACAAGGGAAGTAGAACTGAGTTGAAGCAAGTGGGATCTAGCCCTGTCATCTCTTTCTCCTCCAATCCCCAAAGTGAGAAGCTCTTCTCCACAGCAAGCTTCCCAAGCTGATGTTAACTACAGCAAAGGCCCAAAGTGACAGGATCAAGTGATCATGAATGGAAAACTGAGCCATGAGCCAAAATAAATCGTTGCTTCTTAAAAAGCTAACTTTCTCAGTTACAGTGACAAAAAGGTGATCAACAGGGCTGAGAAGGTGGCTCAGTGGTAGAGTGCTTGTCTTGCATGCATGAGGCCCACATAAGCAGAAAAAGCGCTGTGGCTCAAGTGGTAGAGTGCTAGCCTTGAGCTGAAGAGCTGAGGGACAGTGCCCAGGCCCAGAGTTCAGTCCCCACGACCAACAAGAAAAAGACAAAGACAAAAAGGCTGATCATAATATCAAATAATCAAAGGATATAGCTCAAAGCTCTATATTAACTAAAAGTGGAGCTTTGTATTAAAATATTTAGCTCTTACCCTCAGGATGCGATCCTGATGTGGCTGCTGTTTCATGCCAAGAGCTTTCCGTTCCATGAGTCACAGGAGTAGCATCAGGATTTCCTGGAGGAACTTCTTGCCATACTTTGGCATTAGGATTTAAACTAGTCCCTTTAGATGTTACCTGCTAAATAATCAAAGGATCTACTTGTAAATTTTAAAACTGGATTAAAATAATCTAGATAAATAATTTGTTACTTAAATGTGAAAAAAAATCAAGCAATTTAATATTAGTAAGTAGGTATTATGCAAATATCACCTTGTTTTATTCTGATCAACTTGGAAATAGAAAAATCTTTAATAAAATGTCTATGTAAGCCTCTATAAGCTACTATTTAAACAGTAATTTTTATTCTCATCTATCTGAAAATATCGCCAAAATTTTTCAAACTATTCATTTTTTAGATACTGTGTTTGAATCTAAAGCAATTTTTGTTATCTGTAGCAATTTCATAGAATAAATTGTTTTAATTGCCATCAAAGTTGTAACACAATAGTTTATTCGAGGTAAGAGCCCTCTGGATTTTTCTGCCCAGGCTGGCTTTGAACTGCAATCATCAGATCTCAGCCTCCTAAGTAGCTAGGATTATAGGTGTGAGCCACCAGTGCTGGACTAAATATTGTTTATTTTTGCTCATTTGTGAAAGCTAGACCTTAAAGCTACCAAATTCATGGATATATAAACACATATGTTTGTGGGGGGGGGTGTATAAACACAGAAAAATTTTTACTATGACACTGGAGGATGAGGGTAAGGAGAGGGAAAAAAGTTAGATGGAGGGTGAATAATTTTGAAACATATTGCAACTATGCATGAAGATGGTATAAGGAATCCTAATGAAAGTTGTTGGTCAACAGTGGATTAGGGGGCTGGGATAGATAGAAGAGTAGGTGATTCTGAAATATATATTGCTCTGAAATACAATGGTGAAACTCCTTGGTACAACTAATACTAAGAAAAACATGAAGCTGGGCGCTTGGTGGCTCATGTTTGTAATCCTAGCTACTCAGGAGGCTGAGATCTGAAGATCACAATTGAAAGCCAGCCAAGGCAGGAAAGGCCTTGAGACTCTTATCTCCAATTGACCATCAGAAAACCAGAAGTGGCGCTGTGGCTCAAGTGGTGAGCACTAGCCTTGAACTGAAGAGCTGAGGGACAGTGCCCAGGACAAGAATTCAAGCCCCATGACCTACCCCAAAAAAAAGGATGAATAAAGTCCAAACAGCTTATTTGCATAGATTGAAGACTGAACAATGAAACCAGTTGAAATTGTTTCAAGAAGTAGGTAAGAGTGTTTGAGTAAGGTTCATCAGGATACATTGTATGCACATATGAACGTTACAATAAAACTCCCTTTTGTACAACTAAGGCTGTAACATAATTACCTTCTATCAGACGCCACCCCTTAAATGGTGTACCATATCTCAACAAGGCCACCCTGGAGACAGCATGTTTCTTAGTGAACTTTGGGGACAAACCACATCCAAACCATAGCACTAAAAAATACACCATGTATAGTATATCTTGAGAAGTAGCACTAAATTGTGATGGAGGGGGGAAGGGTGTGTACTGAGAGGTTTGACTTTAAGAGTCTAATGCTGAAACTCCAGCCACACCTTCCAGGACTCTTTGCTTTATTTTTCAGATAAGATCCTCTTGCTTTTCTGCTTAGATTGACCTCAGACCATGTAGTGCCTCTCTACCTTTTGCATACCTGGGCTCAAAGGCTAGGATCCTAGGCAATCACTATCAAACTTGGCTTTAGAATAGGATCTTGTCCTAATGTATTTTTTGGGGGGGGTCCAATTGTGGGGCCTGAACTCTGGACCTGGGCACTGTCCCTCAGCTCTTCAGTTCAAGGCTAGCACTCTACCACTTGAGCCACAGCACCACTTCCGGCTTTTTTCTTTTTGCTTATGTGGTGCTGAGGAATCAAACCCAGGGCCTCATGCATGCAAGGCAAGCGCTCTACCACTGAGCCACCTTCCCATCCCTATTTTTTTTTTTTTTTTGGTCAGTAGTGGGGCTTGAACTCTGGGCCTGGGCACTGTCCCTGAGATCTTCAGCTCAAGGATCGCACTCTACCACTTGAGCCACAGCATCACTTCCTGTTTTCTGGTGATCTATTGGGATAAGAGTCTCATGGACTTTCCTGCCTGGGCTGGCTTTGAACCCCAATCCTCAGATCTCAGCCTCTTGAGTAACTAGGATTACAGGCATGAGCAACCAGTGCCTGGCCTAATGTACTATCTTAAAGCTAAATTAAACAGTAATTCTAACAACTGAGAGGCAACTATGGGGGGGGAGAAGGGGAAATCTAACTTTATTATCTCTCAATAGTTATATTGATAATAGCTAATTATCAACAGCTTCCTCATAGTTAAAAGCATAATGCCTACTTAATCAAACTTCTTATAGCTTCAGTCCCTAATCTCATTTGTTTTAGGCACTGCTTTCTCCTTTATTTGTACTCTTATTTTATTATTAACATTGTATTATAGGTTCAGCTATGCAACACAATATTTGAAATTAGGCAACTTTCTCAAGAAAGAGGCAGCAGGGCTCTAGTGGCTCATGCCTAACTACTCAGGAGCCTAAGATCTGAGGATCACAGTTCAAAGCCGGTATGGGCAGGAAATTCCCCAAGACTCTTATCCCCAATTAACCACCAGAAAACCAAAGTGGTGCTGTGGCTCGAGTGGTAGAGCACCAGCATTGATCAAGCCCCAGGACCAACCAAAAAAAAAAAAAAAAAAAACGGCAGCATCTAGATCTTCTTTGTATTTAGCTATTAATGTAAACCAGAGTAGACTCTTCAATGTCTGTGTGAGTCAATAGCCTATGATGTACAAAAAGGAATATTTGGCAAACATACCATTCTGTTGGGCAAGGAAAAAAAAATCATGGAATTCATAAAGCCCTTCTTTTCAAGTGGTATAAGTTTAAAATTGCAAATGTTTTACTCAGCTTTTTGGTTTCAGAGCTGTTGGCAATATCTTTTTATCCCTTCCCCCCCTTTCTGCCAATCCTGGGGCTTGAACTCAAGGCCTGGACACTGTCCCTGAGCTTTTGTGCTCAAGGCTATTTCTCTACCACTTTGAGCCACAGTTTCATTTCCTGCTTTTTGATGGTTAATTGGAGATTAGTCTCATGGACTTTTCCTGCCCAAACTAACTTTGAACCACAATTCTCAGATCTCAGCCTCCTAAGTAGCTAGGATTACAAGTGTAAGCCAACAATGCTTGAATGTTAGCAGGATTTTGATTTTAGAGATGTTAATAACAATTTCAAACTCACTCTATTTTTTTTTGGGGGGGGGTCGATCATGGGGATTTGAACTCTGGGCCTGGGTGCTGTCCCTCAGCACTTCAGCTCAAGGCAAATGCTCTTCCACAGCACCACTTTCAGTTTTATGGTCATTTACTGGAGATGAGAATCCTGGACTTTCCTGTCTGGGCTGACTTTAAACTGTGATCCTCAGATCTAAGCCTCCAGAGTAGCCACCAGTGCCCAGCTCCAAACTCTTATGTCCTAATTAGCTAAGGAAAAACCCAACTCTTTTTTAAAATTAATTTTTGTTTATTTTGGTTTTGTGCTGGTCCCGGTGCTTGAACTCAAGAGCCTGGATACTGCCTCTGGGCTTTTATTCCTCAAAGCTAGTGTTCTATCACTTGAGCCACAGCACCACTAACAGCATTTCTGGTGGTCAATTGGAGTTAAGAGTCCTCCCCCACCTCTCTTCCCCCCTCCCCCCCCACCCCCGGCTGGGACTGTGGCTTAGTGATAAGAGTGCTTACCTAGCATGCATGAAGCCCTGGATTCGATTCATCAGTACCATAGAAACAGAAAAATCCAGAAGTGGTTCTGTGGCTCAAGTAGTAGAGTGCTAGCCTTGAGCAAAAAAAAAAAAACAAGCCCCTGAGTTCAAGCCCCAGGACTAGCAAAAAAAAAAAAAAAGTCTCACCTACTTTTCTGCCTGGGATGGCTTCAAACTTCTATTCTTAGATCTCAAATTAATCACCAACAACAATCCAGAGGTGAAGTTGTGGCTAAAGTGGTAGAGTGTTAGCCTTGAGCAAAAAAGCTCAGGGAAAACATCCGGTTCTTGAATTCAAGCTCTAGAACTGGCACCTCCCCTTGCCCCCCCAAAAAAAATCCTATACACCTGAGAACCAGTCATGGTGGTGCAGACCTTTGATTCCAGTGCTCAAGAAGCAGAATTAGGATTGTAGTTTGAGGCTAGTGTAGCCTATGTAGTAAGGGCCTGTCCCAAACAACAACAAACAAAAACCAAAGGAAGAATAAAAACAAAACACCTCCAAAATAACCTCTACACCAGGATGCCAGTGGCTTATGCCCATAATCCTAGCTACTCAGGAGGCTGAGATCTGAGGATGCAGTTCAAAACCAGCCCAGGTAAGAAAGTCTGTGAGACTCTTATCTCCAATAAACTACTCAGAAAAGACAGAAGGGTGCTGTGACTCAAGCAGTGGAGTGCTAGCCTTGAGCACAAAGAGGCTCAGGGACAGTGCCCAGGCCCAGTATTGGGGGGGAAAAACAAAAACAAAAAAGAATCCTCTACAGTTATGGAAGGCTGAATCTGGAAGACCTGGAATTTGAAGTCAGTTAGACCCTGTTTATTTATAAACCCCCCCTCAAAAAAAAAACAAAAACCCTGAATTATAGCTAAACTAATAGATGAACCTTAGCAATGTTTATCATTCCCAGGTAAGTAAGGACAGGTCTGATTAGTGGTTCCTTTTATGCAAAATTCTAATTATATAAGAAAGGAAAAAAGGGGGCTAGGAAGGTGGCTCAGTGGTAGAGCGCTTGCCTTGCATGCCTGAGGCCCTGGGTTTGATTCCTCAGCACCACAAAAGCAAAAAGAAAAAAGCTGGAAGTGGCGCTGTGGCTCAAGTGGTAGAGTACTAGCCTTGAGCTGAAGAGCTGAGGGACAGTGCCCAGGCCCAGAGTTCAAGCCCCACGACCGGACCAAAAAAAAGAAAAAAAGAAAGGAAAAAGGGGAGGTATTACTGGACACTGGTGACTTACATCTTAATCCTAGCTACATAGGAGGTTGCTATCTAAAGATTGGGCAGTTTGGGCTGGGAAGGTGGCTCATTGGT